CAAACTCATGGGCCCCACCGGCACCCGCCATACCAGAGCAGATCCAGGAAAGGGCACAGAGGTCCGGGCCCCCAGGGCGCACCCCCTCCAGGCCAAAGCCAGACAGGTCCAGAGGTCCCGAGCCCCAGCAGGCAGTCACCAGGCCAGGCCGGCACACACCCCAGCGCCCAGCCCCAGACCACGGGAACAAAGTATCTTTTGCTAACATCCCATTACCAAAGACCTCTGGGAACCTCCAGATGTTCGTCATCCATGCCCTGACAAGTCAAAGCTGTTTTTGTGGTGAAAAATGGGCCTACCCCATATAAGACTGGAGGTTATACTGTTACAGCTGACTGCTTTAAACAAGAGTAGGAGTGAAGCAAAAAGAGAAAACACCCCAAACTGATTGATCATAGATAAATTGACTTATTATGCACGCATACTGTTCATACTACGTTAAAGCAAGTAATACAGTATAAAATATTGTCAGAATGTGGCAGCTAAGGCAATAAATTAAATGTAAGCAAGCCTGCCAAACCTTGTATCATCAGCATTCTTATTCATATTGCCTAGTGTTGAAACATAAGATTTTGTTTATCTTACCTGAAACGTTCTGAATTGGCCTGCTAGTACTTATTTGCTGAACAGATATGAGCGTGGCAGCTGCAGTAGTTGCAGGAGGAGCAGATGAAAAGAACTTCGTCCCGATCTTCTCTGTTGTGTCGTTCTCCATTAGGGTTGCATTTCCTTGTTCTGGTGTCTGTGTGAGGGACTTGAAAGAGACGTGTTCAGTTGTCGGTGCCGTCACATCTTCAGTTGAGGCACCAGCAGCTGCAGGGGTTACAGATGAGGCTGGAGAGTCTGCATCCTGTGTCTGAGGTTTCTCAGTGGTTGCTATTTGTGTAGTGATGATCTCCTTGCTAAAGGGTGTGCTGGTGAGAGGGGGAGTTGTTTCCACAGTAGGGCCAAGAATACTGTCTTTGTCAGTTAAACTGGGTGAAACCATCCCCTTTTGAGTTGGTGGCCCAGCCTGAAGTAAAAGATCAGTCTTGATCTCATCATAATCTGTGAATGGGGCTGTTGATTCAGGAGTAAACATTGGAGGTGATGGTGTTGATTCTAAGGAGCTCAACTCTTTCTTTGGGGTCAGTTCAATGGATTCTGTAGAAGTGTTCATGAGATCAAAAGAAACTGATGGGGTGATTCCAGAATCCAGAATGGTCTTTTCTGTTATACCCACAGCAAACAGGGCCTTTGTGCTTGAAGAAGTATCTGGCATCGGTACATCAGGTTGAATAGTGCTAATCTTAATCACTGAGAGGTCCTCCCKATCCTCGTCAGACACTGTAGAAACGGTGCTTTGGGTTGTGATGTGCGGTTCTGTGATTCCGACATTTTGAGAAGGAACCGATACTACTGGCCTGTAACTTGTGTTTAACAGTCCAGGCTTTTTTATTGGTTTGAGTGGAACTTTTTGAGTGGGTCGAGGTGAAGTCATTGTGGTGGAGATCACAGATTGTTGGTCTGTAGGAGCTTTAGAGCCTGGAGACATTTCCGTCACTGATGTTGTGTCCGATGACGCTGTAGTCAAAATGGTGCTACTTCGCAGGACAGGTGTGAAGGTATTGGAGTGGATGGTGGGAAAGATGGTGAATTGTTTTGCGAACATTTCCACAAAAGACTTCCTGGTGCTCACCGCTCTTTTTCCTAAAAGTAAAAAAGAACACAAAAAGTCAGAAAATTCTGCAATTTATGATCAACTTCACAGCTGTTTTGGCAGACAGATTTTTATTTTAAATGAAGGGCAACCAGAAGCCTATTTTGGATTTTTTTTTTTTACAAAAATCCAAACAATTTTGATTTTGTTTATCATTTGTCATTCACTTCACAAATCAAAAGTATGTCCTAATTATTACTTGGCTCCTTATTTCAAATACCAACACAGATTAAGACACATTTATACGATTGGATTTCATTTAAGATGACTTTATGTCAGTCAAGCTCAATGASTCATTCAGAGGCAAGAGTCAAAGTACAACTTTTCTTTTAGCATTCATTAAAACTAAACAAAAGATTTTCCAGAGCTTAAGGCTTCCTAGTGCAAATTACCTCATCTCTAAAAGCCTAATGTTGTTTACAACAAGCTACAAAAATAATGATTCAAATACTCTTAAAGAAAAGCGGTTAAAGCCACAGAGTGAACTGTAAATCTAAGTTAATGTGAACAAGCAGCCGAATTCTTAATCCATTTAATAGTATTTATCTTGCACATGACAAACTGGACATCTGTGGCAAATGAGGTCATTGTTTAAGTGTTCTTGTTGTGGAAATATTTATTTAACAAAGACAGAAATRCGTGGTCCAAGAATRAAGGKGCTCCATGGGATTATCAGCTGAGTTTTATCTGCAAGAACAGGAAAYACAGAGAACAACRTAGAACCATTGAACTGTACCCCTGCTCTCTGCTCCTGCTTCTGCTTCTCTGAGGCAGTTGAGGCCTCATATTTACTGTTTAACAAACACCATTATGTCATCTTAATAAAGCAAGGATTCATCCTAAGGAAATGCTGCGTCAAGGGAAAACAAAGATAAATACAAGTGATATCTAAGAATGATTGTTGTTAGCAGATCTTGTTCTGACTTTAATCATTCTATCTACTGATAAACAGCATGTCATGAATTACTGGCTTAAACCTAAAAGTATTRTTTCCATTACATTCTGTTTCCAATGTATACCTTGAATGTTTCTCCAAACATTTCCTTGTCTGTCTGAAAGGATTCCCAGGACTATAACAAAGATACTGAACAATATACYGTATAAACTTCAAGAAATCCGGTGTTGTGGTGTTGTTAGCATTTTTCACATTTTTTTCTTCCTTATTTCTACAGTACACTACCTGTATTTTATTCCTGATTTCATTCTGTAATCTCTGTGTTAGTTTATGGATTTCTAAAGTAAGCCTATTGTGAGTGCTTATTTAAACCACCTTGTTAAGGAGCCCTTTCTTTGATGTGATTATGTGTTCCTTTTCACCCATGTCTCTCTCTGTTCTTCCATGAGCTTGTGTTTATTCAGACCAATAAAAGCGCAAAGACTTCCTTGGTGGAATGGACTCACAGGATAAAGCCAGCTGTTGACCATTATGTACTGGAGATCTTCCCTAAAAAAAAAGTATGTATTGTGCAAGGTGAGAGACGCCTTTTTTCTGAACATTAAAGCCCTTTCTCAGAATTTCACCAACAAATATGAACTGTTTGCTGTTAAAAAGTCTTTGTTTCTTTTACCAGCAATCCAAAGACTGACGAGGGAGATAGTGTCTCCCTTTTCCCTCTGCATCCAGCTCTCCTCTCCCAGCCTTTCTGTGTAGTTTAAGTGACATTTGGTTTAGATAATATTTCTGTTTCAAGACATTATGGCAAGCTGAAAGGCAGCAAATGATGGAGTCCCGCCAAATTGGGGTACTTGAAGAGCACTTACACAAAGGTGTAAATACAATCCAAYGGAGAGAGCTGACATGACATACACAGAGCAGGAGGTGAGTCTGGCATGTTTGTGTGCCCTCTGAACTCCTTGTCGACTTATCGCTGCGAGAGTCAGCATGGCCCAAGGGGCAGAAAATGGCCAGGCAGTGGTCAGCTTATCTGTTCAACCTCTCATTTGTAAAGATGGAAAGGGCATGTCAGAGGTCACTGAGGATGACTGAATTTAGAAGGCCAGCAGTAGTTTTTGTCCATTATCCAAATGTCTGCTCAGATAAGTGCAAGTGAGAATGACAGAGGCGAAACTGACAGCGGAAATGAGAGATGAAAGACGCAAAGGAGGTCAGATAGTGAGACTAAAAAGGCTGTGAGGTGTGGCATTAGGTACTTTTGTCACTTTCCTAAATGGTAACTATCATCTAGCATTTAGTTCTTCCCTAGAAATACTGATTAGTTAAAAACAACTACATTTGATAACTTTCAGTGTGCTGAAGAAATTATTGGGGTTTAGGTTATACTACTGATTTTAATTACACTACACATGGTATAGTCATAGAACTGTAAAGATTGTTAAATGTGACTGCTTTGCTCAACTTAAYTTTATATTAATAGCTACATGCCTGAAAACAAATTCAACACATAACTGAACTTTTAAATCCTCATTAGGGTAGGTTTTCATGTTTGGGGGCATGGCTTCTGTTAGAGTAGGGTACCCACACTGATGACGTAATCAATAGGCGGAGCCATGCCTCGGAGCCCTTGTTAAAAGCAATTGTACTTCTTTCTTTTCGGTCTGAACGCTTGGTTACCGATTAAACCAGTCTTCAGCAGAGAGTGCTCTTTGGTTTTGTATGGTTTCTCTTTAATAATCTTTTCCATGCATTTGTACATTCTCCGTATGGTTTAAGCCAGAGGTTCTCAAACTGGGGTCCCAGGACCCCCTGGGGTCCACAAGCTCTTTCTTGGGGGTCCTCAAAACATTACAATAAGTTGTTAATTTGGATTTTGTTTTGAAAAATGAATATGGGGAATAATGCACTAGTAAAACAAACATACTAAACCAAACAAAAAATAATATTCCCATAGTATTTAGAGGTTAAAATGACAATTATTTCTAAAACAGCGTGGGTTTTATGAGGGGGTCCCTGAAAATTTTTCATACTTGTAAGGGGTCCCCAGACCCAAAATGTTTGAGAACCCCTGGTTTAAGCACACATCCTGGTAACGAACACGCATCACAATATTTTCTTTCAGTGCCACAAAGTGTCTTTATTCATAGAGCTCTACTGCTACATTTAAATAAGTAAAATAGTCAAGCTAATGTTGTTGACACAGAAATGGATGTGAATCAAAAATGTTAGACAGTAAAGTCAGCTGGACGGAGTGCTCTGACACGGAACATGTAATGTTCATGAATGCTCATAAGAAAATCCTCCCTCTCCTTTTTCAACRTTGTTGTTGAGACTAATGGTCTCAAATGAGACATAAAAGAGTAATAAAAAAGGAATAGGAAAAAAAGGACTAAGCAAGCTGTGGAAATGTTAAACATTTGCCTCAAGTCAAATCTAGGACAGTTTGTTTTGGTGTAAAGAAGCAGAAAATCAAAGGGTGGGGAACCAGAAGGGAATAAATGTRGAAGATGAGCTCATAGCTTCTTAACAGTCAGGTCTGATTTTGTCAGAGAATGGCCTGGGCTCACAGTTACTGTCTGTTATTTTAGATAAGAAAACATAACAGATACACATTATGACCTTGAACATGCAAATAACMCTGTACCTGAACATATAAAGTCTGTAGCAACATAACACCTTAGAAAAACATCCACACAAACATTCACTTTCACTTTCTGTTGGACCCTGAGGTCAGGATTATTTTGAAGAGTTTTTTAGATTTGCAGAGTTTTTCTACATCACACACCAAGCTTGTAGCAAAATCCTGCCTTTCTGTCTTTACTTAAAACTATGATCTTAAAAGAAAAACCTAAGTGTTTTGCTTTGCCATCAATAGCAAATTTGCATTGCCTATTATAGAGGATCCTTTATTTAACTTAGGAGAGAAATAAGTTATTATCTCTTGTTAATAGTTACTTCAATATTTAGCTTATTATTTTATATTTGATGTAGGAAATGTGAATTTAAAAGTATTTTTTCTATTGGTTACCAGATGAAATATGATCATTCTGAGAAACCATTTGTACTTGAGGGTACTATCAGGAGCACAACAGCAAAAGGTCATTACAAACCACTGGTTACTAGCCCAGTAGCCCCATATAAGCAAAAGCTTTTAACTTTACTCTCTAAACTCTTTCACATAGAATAGAAAAAGTGCTGCTATATGGTGGTGAAAATAAGAGTTTTGTGTTTTACCCAAAAGCTACTTCAACACATGACTTACATTCAGATTTTGTCTAAAAAATTCAGACTTTAATAATTCCTGATCAAACTGTGGACACGTGCTGAAGAAATACATTTTCATTTAAAGAGTAACTTACCCCAAAATTTACTTTTTTAGCTGACAAACTCTCTAGAATGTGTCTAAAATGTTATATAGTACTGTTTCTGTGCTAATTTTGATGTTTTTGTGCATATTTGTTCAAATCTGTAATATTTGGTCTAAAAACGTGTTTTTGCTGCTCAAATGGGTAGAGCAGTGGTGCTGCAGGCTAATTTGCATATTGGTTAACGGCTCTCCGCTGTGACGTGCTTCTCCACAGTTTCGTCACAGCGGCTGTGTTCTGGTATATAAACCTCTCTCTAAGACACGCCCCTGCAGCAGTCAGAGGGTGGAACAGTTAGCAAACTTAGCATGATCGTCTGACCTTCAGGCTCGGGTGGGGAGAGCTGACTGCTGCACTGCTCTCTCTCTCCCCCTGTCTCTGTCTCTCTCCACACACACACACACACACACACACACACACACACACACACACACACACACACACACACACACACACA